ATATGTGCAAAATAAATTTTATACATACATACTCATATGAGTATATGTATATACATATATACAATATATATGTATATGTGTATACCCTATTCAACAAAATTAAAGGATCTCCCGTTCTACTCTCCAAAAACAGGCAAATTTAAAGATAGAATAATTTCGTCAAAAATAATCATAACAAGATTTTTCAAAAAATATTTTATATAGCCTTGAAGCTTCCACTTTTTAAATTAAACTTTAGAAAACGACTGACTTTTTTGGAGTCGCAAAGATACAAATAAGATGTGACAAATCGCAAAATTTTTCCCAAACTTTACAAAGTATGTTCCATGACGTGAATTAAAAATAGCATATAAATGCGGTATACAAGCTTTCGAAAGAGCGAATTTTTTCTTTTAATTTTCTCTTTTGTTGAGCGATTTTTTTTCATCGAGTTATTCAACATTGAAATAAAAAATTGTTTATGCTACCACATTTGTATATGCGATTTTTAATTCACGCCACGGAACTTTGCAAAGTTTGGAAAAAATTTTGCTATTTGTTACATTTCCATTTGTATCTATGCGGCTCCGAAAAAAATCAGTTGTTTTCTAAAGTTTTAATTTTAAAAAATGGAGCTTCAAACTGTAAAATGTTTTTTGAAAAATCTCAATTATTTTTTATAAAGTTACTCTATTTTGAAATTTACCTGTTTTTGGAGGACAGAACAGATGATATTTTAATTTTGTTGGATAGTGTATATCACGACTAATTTCTTACAAAAATAAATCATGAGATAAGGACATATAAGCGCCCTAACAATTTTAATAACAGTTTCACTTTTCGTGTCTGTCATGTCAAATTATATTATTGTCCCGAGGAAAAATATTGCAGTGAATAGATTAATAAAAACGGACATTTCACAAGAAAGGCGAAAACGTAAAAAATCAAAATATTGAAAAATAACACAGGTGTAATAGAAAAGTTATTGACGTTTTCATAAATATTTGTTTTTCCGCTGATGTATGCCATTGAAATGCGTGCAAAAACAGCATATCGCAAAAATATGTTACTTCGAATATAATGTATCCTTTTCAATGTGAAAACGAAGAAACCCTATCTATTTTTACGGAAAAATAAATCACGATTGGAACACGATATTTTTTTAATTTTTTTATTTTTTATAAAGACCAATGTATGTATGTTGTAAGAGTTTATGTATGCGCATCGTAAAAATTCGGTCGTATTACTGTATCCCGCACAAAATGTAGCAGCGAATAAATTATGAAGAAGACACTTTTGCAAGAGAGACGATATAAATATAAACAATATTAGAGCATGGTAAATTGAAACATATGTCCGAGAAACTCGTTAGCGCCTTCATAAATATGCTTCGCTTCGGATTAGTTATTTTATTTATAACCGAAATGCATTCGTCGAGTTAAACATATACCGTAATTGCGCTTCGCGAATATACTTTATACACATAGATTAAATATATCATGACATATTTAACCAAGACTGTATCAAGATTATGAAATCGCATGCTACAAAATACGGCAACACAAAATGATATTTGTATAATATTATAACGTGCGAGATATAAACGCGAGTATATAAATTATATAGGGTTTCACTAATTCACCGTGTGCCAATCTATAAATTGTTTGTCATTACTTAAAGTACGACTGTCGAATTGACATTTAATTTATCTCGAATTTTATGCTTAATTGCCCTCGTAATTTTATCTCTTCCTTCTCTCGCAAATCCTTACTTGGCTGAGAGGTAACGCCATTTTTAGCACAAAGATAATCGCTGTGATAGAGTCATCGACAGGTGACTGACACACGATGACAATCAAAGGTCGGCGAGAAACCGATGGTCATTGTGTAGAACGTAGTGGAATAACGGCGTGATTGTCATTGAACAAAACCCGATGCTAGAACTTATAGCGACTTTCACAATGACGATGCGCAAATACATATGGCAATGCTTCCGGATATCTCGTTAAAGCCCGATTCCGCGATGATGCTGAATTTACATGGAAGGTCAAGCGAAACCGACCGAGCGCGAATCATGTTTAAATGACGCATGATGAACGTGCAAAGTACACCTGAAATATAACGCTGTTGATCAAACTGTTCTTTGATTAATTAATACTAGATTTTTTTTTCTTTACGTCAATTCGAAAATTTTTTATCAGCAAAATATTTTTTCAAAAAATCATAAAATTAGATTACACAGAAGAGTATAAAAATATCTTTAAAAAAACACAAAATCCATCTTTGTCATTTATTTCATGCATCTGTTTTACATTTGACGCAACGCAAAAAAGTTGCGAGCATTTAAAAATATAATTCTGCATATTTTTAATTTATATTCGAGTTATCAATTAATTAATTTCCCTTTTTCAAAAAACGCCGCTCGTATATACGTTCTCGCAAAAAATAATTTTATTCAGAGAGGATGAAGCCCCGAATGCGTCATCAACTAGAAAGAATGTTCGCACTTTTATTTAGAGACCTGCCGAGACGATCGTAATTCTTTTCGCGGCATTTATTATCACAGCAGCGCGAAGACGCCGAAGGAAGAAACGACTTTAGCGACGTATCCCGGTAAAAAGACATTAAAACGCCGGATTACCATAAAGATACGCAAGGGCCGGAGTTGGGGACGCATTACGCGAGGAATTAGGGGAAGCATAACAATTAGTCGCGGCTCTTTATAGCGCACACGTTGCTGCTTCCGCGACAATCATTTTCATAATCCGACGTCGGCTGCGCGGACCGCGCATTAAATCGTCAGCTTTGTCTTGGGAGGCTTGCTCGCTCGTTGTGCCATATCTATGCAGCATCGCAAAAAAGTCGCTTAAGTGCCGCTTTCATCGTCAGAAACTGGCTGGTGTATAAAAGACGAACTCTCGTTGCATCCGCTATATAATCTCTCGTGAATTTGTACACAAGACGCTCTAATTAAAGCGCTTACTTATCACTCTCGTCGGATAACAGAAAATGCGATGCTACAAAAAAGAATCAATATAAAACTGGAGGAACGTTCAAAGGGGCTATTAAATTATTAAACTATTAAAATATCGACCGCCTCTTATTTCCGTTGAAAATTTCTCCTCGGAGTTTTTAGCTAATATATATTCAATCTCAAAATGAAAAAGGTCTAATGGGATCGCGCCATCAAGAGATTAAATTTTCCTCGGAGAAAAACTCGGCGCCAAATTCCTTTGGCAGAAGTAAAACTTCGCTATTGGTATACTTCCTTCCTCGGGATCTATTCTACAGTTCGGCTTTTAGATAAACTTCACCAATGGCAAGTTTTTTGTTTTTTTATTTTATTTTTTTATTTTTTTTACCTTCGTATTCCCGTTACTGCAAATATTGCTCCAAGCAAGCGGCCAACAATAAGAGAGATGAAGGCATATATTTATTAATTCAACGTTCCCAGCTCCTCCTAACTATTACGAAGCGTTGC